CCAAACAAGTTCACATTCCCAGGTACAGGGGGTTAAAACTTCAACATAGCCTTTGGGGGACACAACTCAGCTTACAACACTGACCTTCTAGGGTGCAGGGACAGAAAAACACCAGAAAGCAAATGTATAGGGTAAGTTCCCATGGAGCAGCAAAGCAGGTGAGTGATGGAGGGTGCATGGGGGAGAGGCGACCTCGAGAGGGAGGCCTGAAAGAGGTGAAGGGGTCAGCCCTAATGTCCGTCCAGAGGGAGGAGTGTTCCAGAAGGAGGGAACGGCAGTGCAGAGGCCATGATGTGGGAATCAGCCCGGCGTGTGCAAAGAGCAGGTGGGGTGGGGCGGGCAGCTGAGGCTGGCAAGGACTGGCAGGGCCTGACAGAGGAGGGCTCTGTAGCCCCAACCAAGGCTTTGGAGTTTTGCTTTCAATGCGGCAGGAAGCCACCAGGAAGCAGGAAGGGGAGGGATTTAATTTCTGTTTTAAACTCGTGACTGCAACAGGCAAACTCCCAGCCTCTGCCATTGCAGTCAGGCCTTGGGGTGTCCTCCCTGCCCCTGCACAGAGGCGCTGTGTGGGACGGGTGATGAGGTCGCCGGCTGAGTCCCCAAATGGCGCAGTCAGACACAGGCTCTGTGTCTCGGGGATTCTCCCCGACAGCTTCCCAAGGGTGCCTGGAGTGTCTATTTAACATTCCCAAGCGCTCAGTCAGACCCTCATCCAAACAAACAAGTGTCCAACGCCCATGGGGATGGCCCAGTGGTCGCTGCCTCCAGCCCTTCCCCTCCCCACCCCCAGCCTGAGGGGCCAAGGCCCCCGGCATCTGTTCCTCCTGGTGGCTGTGTGGTCCTGCCCGGGGTTAGCCTCGTCTAGTCCCTGTCAGCTTCCACAGGCCCCCACCCACCTCACAGAGCCAGGCTGTCATGGGCCCTGCCCCATGGGGTTCACAGGCAGGTGTTGGGGGGTGGCTCGAGACCCCTCAGGCCGGGTAGGGGTGCCCTCTCCACCACGCTGCTCCGACTCTCTCCACCAGGGAGGACATGCTGGGGCTTCTCAGCACCAAGAGGCTGTCAGCACATTTATAAACAGTAACTCTCGGAAGATTGCTGATGGGATTAATGAGCTCGAGAAGCCCCCCTGAACGTCTGAGGCCTCCCCAGGGGCTGGCCACCAGGAACTGCAGCAGCGTTCCGTGTGGCCGCGCCCTAAGATTCCTTAGCGGGGTGGTCTCCGCACCCGTGAAAGGGGACGATGCTGCCGACCTCACGGGGTGGTCCTGAGGACGAAACGGCACCGTGGCCCAGAGTGGACCGGCACTGAAGGAAGCCCCCAGCCTTGCTCCGTGGGCCCCTCCCCACCTCCCCCGGAGGCTGGAACCCAGGGCCACCAGCCAGGCCTCTCCACACGGGCCCAGGCCTGGGCTGCAGGACAGAGTCCCCATAACCAGCACAGGTGCGTAAGGGCAGCCATGCCAGCCGGCACCAGCTCTGTCCTGGTACGTAGGGGGCTCCCACAGACAGCTCTGGGGCCCACCTCGGTTCCTCCTTCAGAAATCCTCCAGGCTTCTTGCAGAGCCAACAGCTGAAGATTCACTCATTAATGAAGCACCAGCTGCCCGTTGCCCTCCTGCCCCCCTCCTGGGCGAAATAAAAAGGGTGTTCATCGCGGCCGTTTCTCTCCTGAATAAGGTCGTTAATAATGGAGAAGGTGCCGCTGACTATAGCCTGAGCAGGACTGACGTGTGTGCGTGTTTGTATGTGTGTGTGTGTGTGTGTGTGTGTGTGCGCACGCGTGTGTACGTGCATGTGTGTGTGCTCCCTCAGCATCACGGGCACCCCTCTTTCTGCCCCATCAGGAAGGTAATGCCTGCCCCCGATAGAACTCTGGGCACCACTGACGCCCCACTTTGCAGGCGTGAGTCTTGGAGAAGGGGAGGGGTTGGGGGTGTGTGTTGAGAGGTGGAGGTGACATCTGTGACATGAGGGACTGGCAGGCTGGGAGCTGGCTGGGGATGACCCTGAGAGCCAGGAGAAGGGACATGGCCCTGCCAAGGCAGCCGGGAGGCCTGGAGGAGGCCACACAGTTGTCCAGAAGTTGACCAGGAGCCCGACTGCCCGGCCCCAGGTGTGAACATCTGATGGCTCCTCCCTGCCTAACTCGGGCCTGCAGGAGGGGGCAGACCAGCTTCCCCTCACACAGGCATTGCTCCCATAATTTAGGGAACATCCCTAGGGCTTTTCTTTCTCCCCGTGTTCAGGAAATTCCCCACCAAGGCACACGAGAGCCCAACAGGCCAGGGGCTTGCTCTCCCTGCCGCCCTGGCAGCCTGGCAGGGGGCATGTGACCGGGGCTTGGACACTAGACTTCTCCTCCAGGAGCAGCGGGGCCGTGAGGTCAGTGGGAGTCCCAAGCCCTGTGTCCCTGGGGTTGGCAGTGCCAGCGGCGGGTTCAGCAGCACAGATGTGTTCTCATGGGCCTGTTCTGTGGTCTGATCATGACCAGGGTCTGGCTGTCCTGTCTCTCACACTTTCCTCTTGTCCGATTCCCAGCCTGCTTCTCTGTCCCTCCTGGGGAGGCTGTGACAGCCTGGCGTCCCCACCGCCCATTCCTTTCTGATTTAAGTCAGCCTGGGCCACTTTCTGTCACTTGTACCTTGGGAACACTGACCAGTACCGGGGTGAGTGTCGGACACCCCGCCTACAGAGCTCGCCCAGTTGGACGTTTGTCCCTTGTTTACTCACAACAACCTACCACTTTTCAAGACCGTGCAAAGTGCAGCGCACACGGAATCCCACAGCCCCGTAAGGACCTCGCCCACCGCCCACCCAACGGCCATTGTGGCTGGCTCACGTTCGTAGAGACCGACCCCAACCCAATCCAAACGCTCAGAACTGGTACCCACGCGGCTGTGCTGTTCCCTCCAAGGCTGAAACTCAGGGAGCACGTTGGGGACGGAACGGAAACCGGAACTCCCAGCCGGCAGTGACTAGTAACCAAACAGCCAAGTCAGCCTGTCCCAGAACTGCCACTGAGCAGGAGAGGAGGGGACAAGGGCAGCAACATAGACTCAGTGGATAAATAAAGGAGCCCTGGCTGCACAGGTGTTAGAGCTCGGCTGCTAACCAAAAGGTCGGCAGTTGGAATCCACCAGCCACCCTCTTGGAAACCCTATGGGGCGGTTCTGCTCTCTTATAGGGTAGCCAGGAGTTGGGATTCGTCAGACGGCAACAGGTATGTATGTGTGGATGCACAGGTGGGGACCTTGGCCGACTCCGTCTGCCTGTGCATGACCTTCACCCAGGCCTCGCTGACGAGGGGTGACCCCTGCCACCAGCCGTGGGCACGGAGCAAGGTGGGTGGTTAGGAGCCAGGAGGGAGGGGCTCGAGACAGCATTGCAGGAAAGCAAGCCTTGCTGCTCCAGGCCTTTTCCGGACCCACGGTCTCGTGCTCACAGCTTTGCGTCTCTTAATAACCTGCCACCCAGCCCCTCCTCCAAGGTCCCTCCAGTAATCACAGATCATCACACGAAGGTGTAGCTTCTGTAAATTTGCCCCCTGGGTGGTGACCTGGCCTCTCATTCATCCTGAGTTCCTCAGGGTGAAAGCTCGGGCAGCTTGAGGGCCTTGGAGGGGTGTGGGGAGGCCACCTTTGCTATGTGGTGGTGTGCGGATTCACTCCCTCTCTGGGCTGCAGTCACGGAAGGGTTTGGGCTGTGAGCTCTAAGGGACCATCCAGCTCACCTGCAGCCTCCCCTCTCTGGACCCCCTCTCCTGCCTTCCTCAGTGGTTTCCCAGGGGTCCAATCCTGTGTTAGACCCAGGATGCAGAGCAGGAGAAAACCGTAGGCCTTGCCCACGATCGGAAGTTTCCATCAGACAGAGACTGGAAAGAATTCGAGAGTATGGCCCCCGGACCCCATTTTAACTCATTACTGAAGTCACTCCTGAGGTTCATCCTTCTGCCAAAGATGAGACAGACCCATAAAACAAAACGAGACTAAAGGGGCACACCAGCCCAGGGACAAGGACGAGAAGGCAGGAGGGGACAGGAAAGCTGGTTAAGGGGAACCCAAGGTCGAGAAGGGGAGAGTGTTGAACTGTCATGGGGTTGTTAACCAATGTCACAAAACAGTACGTGTATTAATTGTTTAATGAGAAACTTGTTTGCTCTCTAAACCTTCATCTAACATACAATTAAAGAAAAAAAAAGAAGTTTCCATCAGAGTTATCAACAAGCAGTCTGCTGCTGTGGAAGTATGGACAGGGACAGACGAAGCTCTCTCGGCTTTAGGAATCCGGGAGGGCTCCCTGGCAGAGGGGTCCCACTAACTGGATCTTAAAGCATGAGTGGAGTCCACCGAGGAGCCCCTGGATGGCACAAATGGTTAAGCGCTGGGCTACTAACTGGAAGGCTGGTGGTTCTAACCTACCCAGAGACACCTCAGAAGAAAGGCCTGGTGATCTACTTGTGAAAGCTCACAGCCTTGAAAACCCTATGGAGCACAGTTCTACCCTGCACACACGGGGTCGCATGAGTTGGGATCACTGCTTGGGTCCACTGGACCAAGCAACGGAGGCTGCCCAGGCAGGAGAAACAGCCTGGGCAAAGGGTGTGTTCACGCAGCAGGGAGCAGGCTGCGTTGCTGGAGGGGAGCACGTGTGGGAGGCCAGTGGGTGCCACCCCTCCATTTGGAGGCATCGGGACTGCTTTTCCAGTGGAGGTTGCCTGTGTCTGCGGGTGGCTGCTGGAGGAAGAGCAGGGCTGTCGAGAGGCGGCCGGGAGAGGCCCAGGGTGAGGGTCAAGGAAGGCGTGCAAAGGCTTGATCCGGCTGGTGGGGCAGCAGAGCCCTGGGGATTCTCCAGCCAGGACGGGCGGCTTCTGGCATGCGTGCCCTGAAAGACGAGTGCCCGAGGTGAGGCTGGCGCCCAGACGGTCAGGGCTGGCCGGTGGTGACCTGGATGTCCCCTCTGTCACCGATGGCTCAGGGCTGCTCTGCCTGTTCCTGCAGGAGGTGATGAAGGTGTCGGACGGCAGCCTCCTGGGAGACCCCGGGCACACGCCACTGAACAAGAAGGAGGGCGTCAAGTGGCAGAGGCCGCGGCTAACCCGCAAGGCCCTGATGCGGTGCTGTCTGGTCAAGTGGATCCTGTCCAGCGCTGCCCCACAGGGCTCAGGTAGGGGCTGGGGTGGGCTGGGGGCGGTGGGCCGGGGCAAGGCTGTGTCCTGAAGAGCACCCCTTCTGAGTGCACATAGACCTCCTCCGCCTCTGCTGGTGGATGTCTCCTTTCACTCAGAGTGTCCCACGAAGGGCACTGAGCTCAAGGCGGGACCCGTGGAGGGTGGGGGCCGAAGACGGGGGCCATTCTGAGATTTCTGGCTTGGGTAGCTGGGAGGATAGAGCCAGGTGCGTCTGAGAGGTCAGGCTCCGCCCGCCCGCCGCTCGCCAGTGGGTACCCTGAGGCGCTCCCTCATCCCGAGTCCTCTGAAAGAAGGAGCGCTGGTCCCCCCCTGGAAGGGCACGTCTGAAGATGGGCAGCAACGTGCGCAGGGGCCGGGAGGAGGAGCCCCAGCCGCTCACTCCAGGGGCTGCATTCTGGGGTGTTCATGAGGCAACTGGCAGAAATGGTCACCCCGTGCTGGCTGTGGGTGACATTTGGTGTTTGTCGAGCGACACGGCAGGAGATGCAGAGTTGGCCTCACACAGCCCCTGTGTGCTCACACACATGTGCACACGCCACACTCACACCTGTGCGCACCCACACACTCTCACCTGTGCGCACCCACACACTCACACCTGTGCGCACCCACACACGTGCAGCGCCCACAAGCATGCACACGCATGCACATCTGCTCACCATACACACCCGCCCACCATGCACACGTGGGCACACACACCACACACACACGCTCATATGAACACGCACATCCACGCACGGGCACACACACCACGTGCCCTCAGGTGCTCATGCGCACACGCACATCCACGCACGGGCACACACACCACGTGCCCTCAGGTGCTCATGCGCACACGCACATCCACGCACGGGCACACACACCACGTGCCCTCAGGTGCTCATGCGCACACGCACATCCACGCACGGGCACACACACCACGTGCCCTCAGGTGCTCATGCGCACACGCACATCCACGCACGGGCACACACACCACGTGCCCTCAGGTGCTCATGCGCACACGCACATCCACGCACGGGCACACACACCACGTGCCCTCAGGTGCTCATGCGCACACGCACATCCACGCACGGGCACACACACCACGTGCCCTCAGGTGCTCATGCGCACACGCACATCCACGCACGGGCACACACACCACGTGCCCTCAGGTGCTCATGCGCACACGCACATCCACGCACGGGCACACACACCACGTGCCCTCAGGTGCTCATGCGCACACGCACATCCACGCACGGGCACACACACCACGTGCCCTCAGGTGCTCATGCGCACACGCACATCCACGCACGGGCACACACACCACGTGCCCTCAGGTGCTCATGCGCACACGCACATCCACGCACGGGCACACACACCTCACACACTCATGCGATCACAAGGCATGGATGGCTTTGTTAAGAAAAAGGTGCAGATTTGGGCCTTGACAGCTGCCTCTTATTTGTTGCCTCAGCCACACTCTGGCTGTGTGATTTCCAGAGAACCTCAGTCCTGTCGACTGGAGAATGGGACAATACCAGTCCCTGCCTCCCAGGCTTGATCGGTTGTGGGGCGTGGAGGGCGTGGCCCGAGTGACCCTAGCAGCAGGCACAGAGGTCGGCAGCTGTCCCAGCTGTGTGCTTGGTCCCAGTCCTCCACCTGCAAGCCTCACTCCAGACCGCTCCCCAGCACGGCTCCAGCCCCTTCCTTCTTTCCTCCCCAGCTCAGCCTGGGCCCATCTGACGCTCTATCACCCTCGGCTGGACAGTCCAGTTACTTCCCTGCCCGTTTGTCCCCGACACTCCTCTTTCCACGGAGGCTCCCGCAGAAGCATTAGTGCGTGTGAATACACGCTGTGGGGTCCACACGCGCCCCCCAACTTCCTGGAGGAAAACAGGTTTCCCAGATTTCAGAAACACGATGGGATTGATAAAAGGACTTGCAAAGGGCTGAACTGTGAAGCGCGCATCTTCACAGTTGGTTCTGCAGCCGGGTAAGAAAAACATGCAAATGTTCTCTAGAGTGGAGGTTAACCTGGCACCTGGTTTGGCTGGCCAGGTGTGCTGTCCACACGCACACGTGTTGGCTCATGGCCTCTCGGAAGCAGCTGTGCACGGCCCGGGGCTCGGATCTCCCACTGGCCTCAGTCTCCCGGCGCTTCCTTGGTAGCAGTGATTATTTGAGGAGGACGTTGAAGCCAAATCCTCTCTCTCCAGGTAGATCTTGCAGGCACTCGGCTTTACTTCCCAGGCCCCCTCGCTGTCTCTTCTTCCCTGATCCCCTGCACCCTGCCCGGCAGCCTCTCTCCTCGGGAGCCTGCTGGGCCCGTGTCTCCAATGTCCACCTGGGAGGAGAAATGCCTGGTGAACAGCGGCCCTTCAGGGTGGGGCTGGGACATGGTGCGCCCCCCTGTCCGAGACCCTGGGGTGCACCTGTGTCAGCCAGGCTGCAGTGTGGGTGGGCGCCAAGTAAAGCAAGCCAGGGAGAAGGCGTCCAAGGTCGCACGAGAGGGGACTGAGTGGGGACATCACACACGTCCCACCTTGAGTTCAAGGCGGGGTTCTAGAGGGCGGGGGGCCTTTTCCCCTTCAACTCCTACGGCCTGTTTGCTGAATGACTTGTCAGAGGCACGCATTCGGGGCAGGGGCGGGAGAGACAGTGGGATAGGATGGGGCGGGAAGAGCCCAGGGGACCTTTCCAATGTGGTTCTGACCAGCCTGCTGTATTCCCGTCGTGAACGTATGTTAAGTGGCTAGTGTTTACGGGACACTATGGGGAGGAGATTTTAAAGAAAAGAAAAAGAAAATCTTCTTTAATTGTGTGAGCCAGGCATTGCAGATCTCATCACCCCGTTTTACTGAAGACTCATCTGAAGTACAGAGAGGTCGAATGACTCAACGGGTCACCGGGGAGGGAGGAGAGGGAGGTCCTCTGTGATGGACTCCTCCAGGCAGGCCGCCCCCTCTGCAGAGTGTCTTCCAGGATCCCTTCTCTCGGGGACCTGAGAGAAGAGCGAGCCCAGAGACCTGGTGGCGGGGGTCCCCTGGGGCAGCTGCTGCTCACACAGCCTGGGGAGCCAGGGCTTGGCCGTGCCCCCTCTCTGCACAGTCCAAACACGCCTTGTGAGTGTCCCTGAAAGGTGACACCATTGTTATGGGCACACTGAGGGCTTTGTGGACGTGTGAAATGCTGAACTGTGCAGATGAGGCTGCCTCCGCTCCTCAGGATCCTCCCAGGCTCTGGCTGCCGAGAACAATCGCTGTCTTTCAGCAGCTCGGCACGCACGCTTGTCCGGAGGCCCAGCTGCCACGTCCTGAGCTCTGGTATCTGTGAAAGTCAGGCAGCGCAGACACTGCGCCCTTGTTGTTGGGGTTTTTCCATTCAGCAGAAGCCAGGCCAGAGACACAGATTTCTGGGACAGCTGGCGGAGGAAGTCGATGCCCAGGCACAGTAAAACAAGCAGGTGTCCCTGAGATTTGAGCGAGGGAGAGCCTTGGCAAGGAGTGCACTGGGCTCTGGGCCGGGAGATGAGGACCCGCTGGGCTGGAGCCGCCGCAGCTATTCCCTGGTGGGTCCCCCTGTTCCTCCATCCCCCTGCTCAAGGGACAGAATCTGGAGCAGATCAGCATCTGTGGGTCAGGAATTTGTGCGGATCTCACCTGGATGGCTCTTCTACTCCATGTGGCATCAGTTGTGATAATTCACTTGCCTTCCTTTAGCTGGTGGCTCTGGAAGGTCCAAGCAGGTTTCGCTCACATATCTGGTGCCTCCACACAACCTGTCTTCATATGGCCTGTCTCTCTCCTCATGGCTGCTTGGGCTTCCTTACAGCATGGTGTTCTTGGGATACTCAGACTTCTTACATGAAGTCTGGCTTCCAAGAGGGGGTGTTACAATAAGCAGAGACAGAAGTTTCAACGGCTCTTCAGGCCTAGCTTCTAGAACTCACACAATATAGCTTGCACTGCATTCCATTGGTCAAAACAAGTCACAGGGGAGGGGAAATGGACTCTCCCTTTTCATGGAGCTGTGGTATAAAATTTGTGGCCAGCTTTAACCTACCACAGGGTCCTCAACTAAGAGTCCTTGGTGGAGTGATCCAAAGCTTCATTCTTGAGGGACCTGAGCCCTTGGTGGTCCTGCCTCAATGGGGTTGCTATAACTTTTATCACTGTACTTGGCAGGATTAATAGGTTCCCTGGGGAATTCAATAGATTTGAGACATAGTCCTCCCTGTCCCCACTGTGTAGCTGTAACATCCTTTCCCCTTGATAAGCAAGACCATTTGCCCCAGCCAACACCCTTCTGTGCCCGTTGGTCTAAGTGGCATGAGTAGACCCAAATGACTAGGAGGTGGTCTCAGCTTCCAGTTCAACAGGCCCACTGATGTTTCCCTTTTAGGGGTGCATTCTTCCCTTTGGATCTAAAACCTCTGATCTGCAGCCCAGAGGATGGGAGATGAGAAGCAAAAAATGTTGCAAGGGGGTGCTTGGGGGATGGAGAGAGGGGCCACTGCCACCACCTCCCTTGGCTCCTGGACCCATTATTCTGGCTAAGGGAGGAGCAACATGTCTAGTAGCATGTCCAGCATCCTACAGGACAGCACCCAAATCTCCACCTGGCACAGGAACTAGGTCTTCAGGAGTCCTTTCCACTGTTCTGTGAGGCTAGCTGCTTCTGGGTGATGGGAACATGGCAAGGCCAATGGCTCTTGTACGCACTGGCCTTTGGCCACATTTCTTTGCTGTAATCTGAGTTCCTTGGTCAGCAATAAAGTCGTGTGGGACGCTGGGATGGGTGGTGGTGTTGGCAGAAGCATGGCGGGCAGGAAGGAAGGTCTGTGTCCAGAAAGAGCGTAAATTCTGGTGAGGACGGTGCAGTGGTTAAGAGCTCAGCTGCTAACCACAAGATTGGCAGTTCAAATCCACTAGCTGCTCCTTGGAAGCTCTATGGGGGCAGTTCTACTCTGTCCTATAGGATCTCTATCCGTCGGAACTGACTC